GGATTACAGATGTGCACCACTACACCCAGGCACTTTGCTTTCTTTTGATTGAACAATATATCCTGGAAATCAGTGTAGCAATTCCTAGACTCATCTTCATTCATTTTTACACCCTTGCGTGGATGGCGCTCTCTCACTTTCTATCTTTGGGTATTGAGGTTGTTTCCAGAATTTTGCAATTACAATCAGTGCTGCCATGAATATCTTTGTGCATGTGCGTTTTCATATTGCCGGAGAAAGCGCCCAGCCCTTAACATTATGCTACACCATGTAGTTTTTGCTGCCGGTACTGAGGATTGAACTCAGGGCCTTCACCCTGAGCTGCATCCCGAGCCCCATTTTGATTTTTCATTTTGAGACAGGGTCTTGCCCAGTCTGTGCTCCAACTTGTGATTCTCCTGCCTTCGCCTCTCAGGGTGCAGGATGACGGGCGTGCACCGCCACATCTGCCAGCGCGTGGTATTTTTTAAAGCCTTGGTTGCCCACAATACAATGTGAAGCTATCACTTTGAACTCTGGATTTGCATATCTATCTCTCGTATATGTGCTCCTGGCATATAAAGAAACCACGGTGTGAAGATTTACACTGGGAAGCCCATAGGCGTGGTGGCACTGGGCCAGCTTCCTGCCTGGAGCCTGTCACCAGAGCTGAAGGGTGACTGTCCCTTTTACACAGTGTGGGTTCCACATGCTCCAGACTTCTGACCACCTTTGTCCTTGCTGATATCACATTGCCGGCCTCCAGGTGTCTGTCGGTGTCCCTCGAATGACATCCTAGGTGTGCAGTGCTGGCACAAGGCTTGCACATAGTCAAGAGTGGTGATGACATTTGCTCACCCGTGTAACGCAGCCGTACTAGGCACTGGGCATCCCTGACAGGCGGCTCTGGGTTTCCACTAGAAATTGTTTCCAGGACCCTGCCAGGGAACCAAAGCCTGCACATGCCCAAGTCCCATACATAAAATGACACAGAATCTGCATACGACCACGCACTCTTCCTGTGTAGTTTAATGGCCTCTAGATTGCCTGTGATACCCAGTACAGTGCAGGCGGTATGTAAGCAGTTGTTATACTATGCGGTCTGTTGTTTTGTGTGGTTGCGATAGTAGGGACTGAACCCAAGGTGTTCAGAATGAGCTACATCCCCAGCCCTTTTTTATTTATTACAAGACTAGGTCTCACTAAGTCACTAAGTTGCCCAGACTGGGCTCATATTTGGAATCTTCCTGCCTCACCCTCCCAGAATGCTGGGATTACAGGCATGTGCCACTACCTTTGGCTTATACTGTGCTTTTTTAAGGACCAAACACAAGAAAAAAAATGTTTATACACATTCAATACTGATATGACTATTTTTCTAAATATTTTTGGTCCACAAGGATAGGAACCCAAAGATACAAAGGACTGATTATATACTTATTCATCTAACTTCATAACAACGCTCTGGACTACATAGTATTATCATCCCATTTTACAGATAGGAAAACAGAGGCTGGGGAGGTCAAGTAACTAAGAAAGCACAGTTTGGAAATGGAGAGGCTGGGAATGAACCTGGGTGTCCCTAACTAGCATCTTAACTACTAAGTGTCCAAGGACCGTCACTGTCCTTGTCCTGCCCAGCCCCTCCTCTCTCTCCCCAGGTGAACCAGGCTCCATGACTGTGACCTGGACCACATGGGTCCCGGCCCGCTCAGAAGTGCAGTTCGGGATGCAGCTGTCTGGGCCGCTGCCCCTCCGGGCACAGGGCATCCTCACCACCTTCGTGGACGGGGGCACCCTGCGGCGCAGGCTCTACATCCACCGGGTGACACTGCGGAAGCTGCTGCCCGGGGTCCAGTACGGTGAGCACCAGGCTGGGGGCTCCGGGGAGGGGCACTTCCCAGCGGAGGCTTGGGCAGGGCTGGTCCTTCTGCTGCCCCTCCCGCCCCGAGCCTGGGGGGATGGAAGATGCTGGGGATGGGTCCACTGCCGACCCCCCACCAAGGGAAGGGAAGGTGCGTGGGACTGGAGCGGGGTCTCGGCGCCTTCTGCCCCCCACTGACTGTGGCCTCTCTTCTTCCTCAGTTTACCGTTGTGGCAGTGCTCAGGGCTGGAGCCGTCGGTTCCGCTTCAGGGCCTTCAAGAATGGGGTTCATTGGAGCCCCCGGCTGGCCGTGTTCGGGGACATGGGGGCTGACAACGCAAAGGCCCTCCCGCGGCTGCGCAGGGACACCCAGCAGGGCATGTACGATGCCATTCTCCATGTGGGTGAGGCATCGGCTCCATGCGCGGCATGTGGGGTGTGGGGCTCCGAGCCCAGACGGGAGTCTGGGGGGAGCTCTCCAGGGACAGGCAATGAGACTGACCAGAGAGGGGCTCTCTGGTTCCCCAGACTGCCAGGGTTAAATGCTAGCTCCCAAGCCAGAGTGGTGCCACAGGCCTGTAATATCAGCACTCTGGGAGGCTGAGGCAGGAGCGTTGCAAGGTTGAGCCCAGCCTGGGCAACTTAGTGACTTCGTGAAAATCTGTCTAGATAAAAATAAAAAGGACTGGGCATGTAGCGCAGTGAAGAGACCCTGAGTTCTATCCCCAGCACCAAAACCAAACGAACAAAAACAAAGCCTACTGCAGCCCTTAGAGCTGTGGGCCCTGGCCTCGCCTGTGTGTTACCGCCCTTGTTATCGTTAGAGGAAGGGCTGTGGTGGTGACAGAAGAAGCTAACACGACCTGACGTAGTGTGCTTGTGCGTTAGTTGCCACTGTTACTGCCGCCGCTGGTTTTGGAGGGGCTGAAGAGTGGGGTCTGTGTGTGGAGCTAGGCTCTCTGAGTTTGGTTCCTGGGTCTTGATTCACCAGCTCTGTGACCCCAGGCCTCAGTGTCCCGCTCTGGGATGGAGATAATAGAACGGCCTCCTCCAAGGGCACTTTGAAGGTGTAGGTGATGGCACAGGCAAAGCCACTGGAGCCGTGCCCAGAACAGAAGCAGCAGCAAGCTGCAAGTTGTGGGTGACCTGGGAGGGGGCGCGAGGCAGACGGAGACTCGGGCTGGTAGGACCACAGCGCAGCAGACGGCACCGTCCTGAGGGGTCTGGGGCCCCGTGCTTTGGGGCACTTGTGGGTGGCGTGAGGTAGGGATTCAGGGAGCCGACGGCTCTGCCCTCCTGTGAGCCACCCCTGAGCCACCACATGCCTCAACTCTGCTGAAGGCAGAGCTGTGTCCGGGCCTCACTCTCTCCCTGTCCCCCAGGAGACTTCGCCTACAACATGGATCAGGACAACGCCCGTGTCGGGGACAGGTTCATGCAGCTCATCGAGCCCGTGGCCGCCAACCTGCCCTACATGACGTGCCCCGGGAATCACGAGCAACGCTAGTGAGGATGAGGGCGCAGGGCGGGCAGAGGCCGGATCCGTGCGGGGGGCTGTGTCCCTCTCAGCGTCTCACCTGGGTCTCTCCTGCTGCGCTGTCTCTTTGTAGCAGTTAGAGGAGAAGCAAGGGGTGGCCTGGGAGCCGGGCTCCTGGTGACAGTGGGGAGAGGAGCAGAGCTGCAGTACATGACCTTCATCCCCACTCTTTTTTTTTTTTTGGTCTTTTTGAGACAGGGTCTCACTATGCAGTTCAGGCTGGCCTTGAGCTCACTTTGTAGCCTAGGCCGGTCTTGAACTCACAACGATCCTCCTGCCTCAGCCTCCCGAGTGCTGGGATTACAGGCAGGCGCCAACACGCCCAGCTGATCCCCCACTTTTCTCTTCCTTTTCCAGCAACTTCTCTAACTACAAGGCTCGCTTCAGCATGCCAGGAGACAACGAAGGCCTGTGGTACAGGTAACCTGCGGTGCCAGCCTTGCTCCTGGGGGTGGGAGCTGCAGAGCAGACTCCGGTTCTGACCTCTGCCCCAACTTTGGCCCCTCCAGCTGGGACCTGGGTCCGGCCCACATCATCTCCTTCTCCACTGAGGTCTACTTCTTTCTCCGTTACGGACGCCACCTGGTTCACAAGCAGTTTCATTGGCTGGAAAGTGACCTCCAGGTAGGCTGGGCGGGGGTCCCGCTCCGCCCCACACCTCCGTCCCCCCCTACAGCCTTCACACCGTGCCCTTCTCTCTAGAAAGCCAATAAGAACCGGGCGGCGCGGCCGTGGATCATCACCATGGGTCACCGGCCCATGTACTGTTCCAACGCCGACCTGGACGACTGCACAAAGTACGAGAGCAAGGTGAGGCCCGCTGCCCTGGGGGTGCTGAGAGGGGGGCTGGGGGCCGGCCTGAGTCACCCCTCACCTCCTGCCTCCTCCCGCCAGGTCCGCAGAGGCCTCGGGGGCAAGTACGGGCTAGAGGATCTTTTCTACAAGCATGGTGAGTGACTCAGGGGACCCTCCGGCCCGTGCCCTGCCCCCCTCGCTGCCCGTCCGGGGCCTGACCCCTGCTCTGTATCCCAGGGGTGGACCTGGAGCTGTGGGCTCACGAGCACTCCTATGAGCGGCTGTGGCCCATTTACAACTATCAGGTGAGGCGCGTGGAGGGCGGGACCCGCGGGGCTGATGTCAGCTTGGCCCTGTGTGGCGCGCTCACCCCCTTGCTCCCTGCTCCAGGTTCTTAACGGGAGCTTCCAGCAGCCCTACACCCACCCTCGGGGTCCTGTCCACATCATCACAGGATCTGCGGTAAGCAGGGCTGGCGGGGAGGGACACCTGGGCTCCCCGCTCTGGCTCCGGAGGGCCAACCTTGTACCAGCCTGGGTACCTTTCCACAGCGGACATCACCTGCTTCTCCGCCCAAAGCTGGTACTGCTGGTCATGTGGCCATCCGACGGGGTGGGGTACAGAGGTTCCAATAGGAGTCACTGTTTATTCAGAGCCACCAAAAAGTCACTAGAGCCCCTTTTTTATTACATGCCTTGGGGGAGCCGGGCACAGTGGTGCATACCTATCATCCCAGTACACAGGAGGCTGAGGCAGGAGGATCGCAAGTTCAAGACCAGCCTGGGCAGCTCAGCAGGGCACTGTCTCTAAATAAAAAATAAAAAATACATTTTTTTAAAGGGAGAGCTGGGACGGGGGCACGTGTGGCTCAATGGGAAGCTCAGGTTCAATCCCCAGGAGGGGAATGATCTTGGAGAAAATACTTTTAGGCCATCCAAAAGTGTAATGAGGGGTGCTGGGGATTTAGCTCAGAGGCGCAGTGCCTGCCTGGCAAGCACAAGATCGTGAGTTTGATTCCTGGTACCGGAAAACAAACAAACAAACAAAAGTGTAATGAGGGTTTTTAAAAAAATGATCTACATTCTCCTCAGATTTATTAATTGGGATCCTCCTATAAGGAAGAGTTACGCCTCTGCCCCATTCATTTAGTTGGTGAACGCATTATTTATGTCATGGACTCAGGAGTAACTTCTGGTGTGCTGTGGGTTATATTCCCATCCTCTTGTTATCTCTCTGGATGCTGAAATCGCTCCAGCTCTGGCCACAGGGAGCGTTCACATCGGCTTCTGTCCCGTTCTGACCTCGGCCCGTCGTTCTCCCTTGCTGGCCTCCCTCCCTGCACGGAGGGCCTGGGGCTCCGAAGCCCTCCTCGCCATCTTACGCTTTCCCTGCCACGGCCTGGTTCAGCTTCCTCTCACTCACAGCTGAAGTTCAAACAGCCGGAGGAGGGCAGGAGGCGAACACCCCTTCTCAGCCCTGCCCTGCCCTGCTGTGTCTCTTGGCTGGTGTTTAAAATGTTTTCTGTACATACTAATGAGCGGTTGTCTAGACGGAGAGGTGTTATTGGGTCGCCCACTTTTCAGGCTTCACACCCCAAGGGCTGTCACCCTCTGTGCTTGGGAG